ATCTATCTATCTATCTATCTATCTATCTATCTATCTATCTATCTATCGTAACCATAACTGACCCTGAACTCTTTTTGTAGACTAGACTGGCCTTAGAATTGAGCAGTGTTTCCAGACTGAAGAGGCTAAAGGTTGTAGGCCTGAGAGCCACGTAGAAGCAAATAGGAGATCAAAGAATGCCTGAGACCCCATGAACTCTTCCACTTGGAAGGAATAAATTTTATTTGAAAACTTATTCTTTGAGATAAAGTACTAACTCCTCCTCTTCATATTTCAGTACCTCCAGAGCTAGGCCCCAGAGATGCTTTCTAAAACTACCTAATACCTATTTGCTGCATGAGCCTAACTCTCTTACCTGCTCACGAGTGTAGATATTTATTACACTGTCCTATCTCTCCTTTGTGATGGATTTCCACTCCACTTCTACCAACTTCCCCAACATCTTCCTTAAATACTTCCCTCTCACCTTGCTTGCAAAAGTGTATTTCTAATCATGCCCTGCCTCTTCCCTAACTGACCCTACTGAGTTTTTTGTTGCTGTTAAGTGGATCACACCTAGAATGATTTAAAGAAACTGAAAAGTATTTTTTTTCTTATTCTTTCTTTATCCTCTCCCCATGTTAGAACTTACTTAATAATTCTTAGATATTTCTACTCCAGAAATAAGAGTTTACCTGTCTTCACTGTTTTACCTTGAGGAATATAGTTCCACAAGAACTTACTAGAAGTCATAGAATGTATTTATGTAAGGAAACAATTCCTCTAACTTCTAGCATGGTACTATTTCTATGTATGTTATCTCCATGAACATACACCAAATAAGCTAACTTCAGATAAATAGCCATCTAAATTAGAGGTTCTCTTTTTAGGGTATTCAGTTTCCTTACCCAATTCCCTGAATGATAGCTATTGCATTAGATGACAGACTGAAGATGGTAAATTCCTTGACTAGGCTAAAGCTACAGATCTAAATAGAAAATAGAAAACTTAGCAAGGATAAATAAAATCTTCATTTGGAAGTAATTTGTTAAGCCAAAACTCCAGAGACCAGGGAAAGTATCTATAAAAAAAGGGTCTTGAGCCGGGTGGTGGTGGCGCACGCCTTTAATCTCAGCACTTGGGAGGCAGAGACAGGCGGATTTCTGAGTTCGAGGCCAGCCTGGTCTACAGAGTGAGTTCCAGAACAGCCAGAACTACACAGAGAAATCCTGTCTCAAAAAAAAGAAAAAAAAAAGGGTCTTGAAGCATTATAGATGCTAAACATAAAAAAGAGAGAGAGATAACTAGTTCCTGAGACAGGTTGCAGAAACTACCACCAGATAGGTTAGGAGCAGATAGAAAATGTCTTCAAGATTAAAACGAAGAACATGTTTATAGACCTTGGAGAAGGAAAGCATATTGATCTACACTAGCTATATATACAAAGACAGGACAGTGCAAAGCATGGATAGCTTCAGAGTAGGAGAGTCATCTGGATTAGCTAGTCAAAAAAGTTTTTAAATAAATAAGGCTAGTTTCTAACATGGGCGCACGTATCCACTGGTCACACTCATACACTGGTCTTCATAATTAAATTTATTAGAACCTCTCAGTATTTTTTATCAGATGTTGACTACATACTTGCCAAATGATTTATTTTTTAAATAGGAATGCTTCAGATGTGCAGATGAGTAGAAATTGTCCCAGATATGAAGCTGGGTACCCTGTGTCTACAGAGCTCTATAGTGGTTTGAGTGAAGTGTTTCCCCATAGTCTGATACAGGTTCTAGAAACTACCACCATATAGGTAAGGAGCAGCTAGAAAATGTCTACCAGATTAAATCTCAGAACACTTTTATGGACATTGGAGAAGGAAAACCCTGTGATCTATACTGGCTATAAATAGAAAGCAGGACAGTGCAAAGCAGTCCTTTGAAAGCAGACATCTGAATACTTAGTCCCCAGTTAAGGGAGCTATTTAGAAGGTTTAGGAGGTATGGTCTTGTTGGGGGAAGTATGTCATCAGAAGTGAGAGTATAAACCCTTCCATCATTTCTAGTTCACTCTCTCTGCTTCCTGTTTGAGGTTCAAGATTTACACTCTCAGTCTGCTCCCCTAGCCACCATGCCTGCACTCTGCCATCATGGACTCTTACTCCTCTTGAACCATAAGCCTAAATAAACTTTTCTGTGAGTTGCTCTGGTCATGGCATATATCACAGCAGTAGAGAAATAACTAACACAAAGCCCATGCTGGCAATGAGTACCTTATGGCCATAGGCCTGCAGCCTGTCCTGTCCTGAATAAAGATTCCTAAAATAATCATCATTTCTTCTGCCTCTGCTTCTGCTACTGCTGCTGCCGTCTCTTCCCCCTCCTCCTCCTCCTCCTCCTCCTCCTCCTCCTCCTCCTCCTCCTCCTCTTCCTCCTCCTCCTCCTCTTCCTCCTCCTTCTCTTCTTCCTCTTCTTCCTCTTCCTCCTTTTCCTCCTCCTCTTCTTCCTCCTCCTCTCCTTCCTCCTCCTCCTCTTCCTCCTCCTCCTCTTCTTCTTCTTCCTCCTCCTCTCCCCTATCTTTCTCTCTCTCTTTCTTCTTTTTTTTTTCTTCTAAATATTACCAGTCCCTTGACTAAGGAACCTGCCTGTTCAGCCTGTTCCTCCCAGCCTGCTGGTCTGGCTCTCCCATCCTTGTCCTTTAGTAGCACTTTCCTGCTCCGGAGACAAGTAGACAGAGTAGAGTGAAGGCAGGGAAGGGGTTTTTTTGGTGGTGAGAACCAAAGGAAGGACTTTACAAGTTACATGATGTGAATATCAGTTCATACGTGGTATCACAGACAGTTGCCTGTATTGTAGCCAACACCTTGGAGGAGTTTTTAAAACAAGTTTGTTTTTCTTTGTTAAGCATTCAGCTAACTATTTACTGTTTGTGCTAATAATCATATGGCACAGCAGCTATTTTACATATATATTACTAATTTTAAGATAGCCAAAATTCCATTTTTAGAAGCTAAATCTCTGTGTTAACTATTCTTAGACATTAACTGTTAGCTTAGGTAACACGATAAAATGAAATGAGGAGGTATATATATTTTTACTTCAAAAGTTATTTTGAACCAGACATGATAGCACGTGTCTGTTACCCCATCATTTAGGAAGTTTGAATGACACAATTTTGAGCTCAAGTGCAGCATGAGCTAAAAGCAAAACTCTGTCTCAAAAATAAAAGTCATGGTTATGATCACTTGTTTTGCTTACATTTTTTTTTTTGGTTGTTGAGACTGCTATAGGCAGAGCTGTACTTGAACTTGTTTTGTTTTTTACACTGTATCAACTAATTTTATTAAATTTTGCCTATTTATTCCTTAATATTTAGTGTGTGTCTGTGTCTGTGTCTGTGTCTCTTTGTGTCCGTAGAGACCAGAGGAGGGAGGGCTTCAGATCCTTCAGAGCTGGAGTTACAGGTGGTTGTAAGCTACCTGATATGGGTGCTGGGAACGAAACGGATCCACTGCAGGAGCAGAATGTCCCTTAGCCAACTCTCCAGCCCTGTCTCTTTATTCTTAAAACCACTCACCTTAAAAGTTTGTGTCTCCCAGCTACCTGTATTTAACCTAGCTTTTACTTGGCTCCTCTTTCTTAGCACTTAACTAAATTGTGTTTATTTTCAACATTCTCTAGTATTTTTTTTTTTTTGGCCATGAGGCAGTCAACTGTGTCTCTAGCACTAACTGCCCATTGTCCTACAGCAGGTTAATGTAGGAAAGGGAGAAGGGAGGCTACCATTAAAGAACAGTGAGGGAGGAGATTGTCAGAGCAGTAAATGAATGTTTATGGGTTCTTGCAGTTTATAAAAATGTTTAGAAAATCAGGTTATGTTTGTAACCCACTCTTAGTGGTGCTTAAGTGTAGCTATAAAGACTGGAGTTAGCTTTTTAAGTGCATAGAAAACCATGTTTACGCAGTCAGCATCTGTTGGTCTCCTTCAGCCTGTTCATCTTAGACCCCACATAGCCACAGAGAACTTAATGTCCATTAATGCCTGGTTAAATTTTCAGGGTGTACTTTATAATATTTTCACACTCCTTCAAATGATGATGGAAAAAATGATTCAAAAATAACCCTAAGAGGGTAATATAGGCATAAGAACTGAGCAACAGAGAGAAAACATCTATCAGAGACAGACCCTCTAGTATACTCTGAAGGAGAGGAAGGGAGCTCTCATTTGGATCCTGTGAAGCCCCCCACCCATACCCTCCCCGCCCCGCTCCTCTCTTCAGGTGGGTATAGCACCCTCTGGACCAACTGTGCCTTGTGACTTATAGGGGAGCACCTTTGTACTTCAGTTCTTCTACAAAGTAGGATAAAATAATAAAAATACCTACTCTTCTGCACGGAAAATCATGTGAACACTCCATGAAGTAACAGCCTTGAGAACACTGTAACATATTGAAACAACATGGCAGATAGTAAATAATCTCCTGTGCATATCAGAACAACCTTGCTTTAAGATTCTTATTATTGTTGCCATTCTTAGATCAAATTATAGGTGTTAGTCTAGTTTTCTTTACTCAAATGACTTTAATTACCATATTTGTTCTTACTTTTGCTTCTTCTAAAGCTGTTTTCTAAATGTATTTTCTGTATCACTTAACACCCGTTGTCTTTCTTAAAAACAATGTCTTCACACTGGTTCATTCTCTCCTATGTTACCAAGACCTCATTAGGTACTCTCAGATGTATGTTACTTAGTTCCCAGGCTCTTCCTGATCTCCTGGCTCCCTTTACCCTAACTCATTTACTTTCAGTAAGTGTAGCCAACCATGTGTTTCTTTAAAATAGCCATCGTACAGGTCCACAGGCCTTGCCATCAGTATTTTACCCATTTTTTTTCCTTTGACATTGTCTGCTTGGGCCTGATACTTTTGTGCTGCCTAAACACTTGGGTACTCAGGTACTTTGAGAAAGGATGACCTTTTCTAATCTATTTCAAAGCATTTTCATTGTTATATTTTATCTTTGGGATTTTGTGTTTGAATCATAATGAGTTCATGTATTAACGTCTTGGTGACTTATACTACTCCTTATGAGCTGACATACCTGCACTTTAACAGTTTCTCCCCTCACAGACAGGACTTTTTATTTTTATGCCTTTCTGCCTCATTATTTTCAACTACTAATTTTTTTCTATTTTTTCTACTCTGCACATTTTTTAAAAAATTCTTTTTCATGCAATATTTTAATATTTTAATAATTTCCCCTCCTCCAACTCCTCCCAGATCCCACTCACAACCTTATGTATTCTCTCTCTCTCAAATAAACACACACACACACACACATACACACACACACACTGAAAGTCAAAACAACCAACCAAAAGACCAATAAGACAAAAAATGCCAAAAGGTAGCAAAAAGTCCAGCCCCCAAAACAATGGAGTTCATTTGTGTTGGCCAACTATTTACTCCTAGATATAGTTCTTACCCTGGAGTGTGGTTGATACACCCAGTAACATTGGAGAAAACTGATTTTCCCTTTGCCAGCAGGTATCAATTGCAAATACCATCTGGGTTATGGGTGAGACCTGTGTCTGCTTCCCCATCTCAGTGCTAGGACTCCATCTGGCTTGAATTGTACAGGTCTTGTGTGTGTTTCCATACTCTCTGTGAGTTCTATGTGCATCAGTCCTATTGTATCTGAAAGCTCTGTTTTCTTCAAGCCATAGATTACCTCTTGCTCTTAAAATCTTCCTGCTTCCTCCTCTGCATAGATCCCTAAGCCATGAGCTGAGGGTTTTGATCAAGACATCTCATGCAGAACCGAGTGCTCCAAAGTCTCTCACTCTACACATGGTCCACTAGTGGTAATTCCTATCTACTTTAAGAAGAAGCTTCCCTGGTGATGGCTGAAGTGTTGCACTGATCTGAGGGTATAGCATATGTTCCTTTAGCAGAATAATAGTAGTAGGCTTGGGAGACAAGATCTCAACACAAGAGAATAAAAGTTGTTTAGTGGTAGAAGTCACTCTACAAAAGGTGATAAGCATGTGTCTCCTGGAAGGGTTTCAGCTGAAGTTGGTTACTCTCCTGATATCAAGCTGGAAAATTCTTGAATTCTTCTAGTGATAGAAAAATTCTTCATTGACTCCAGTGGTTAGAGTTTCAAATTCTTTGTCAAGACACGTCTGTTTTGGCTCTTCTTTTTTTTTTTCTTCACTGCTGTAATAAAATGTTGTAACCAAAAACAACTTGGAAAAGAAAGGGTTTATTTGTCTTACACTTTCAAGTCACAATTCATCATAGAGACTACTCAGCGCAGGAATTCAAGGCAAGTACCTGGATTAGAGGCAAGAACTCCTTGCTGGCTCACTGTCTGGTCAGTGCTCATCAAGCTTCCTTATATAACCCAAGATCACTTGCCTAGGGATAGTACCACCCACAGTAGGCTGGTCCCTCCTTCATCAATTAATAATCAAGACAATCCCCACAAATGTGCCCACAGACCAGTTTGATTTAAGCAGTTCTTTAGTCAAGGCTTTCTTCCCACATGACTCCAGGTTGTATCAAATGAACAATTAAACCAAACTAGGAAAGCTTCCAATTCTCTCTGTGCTTTGTATCTGTGGCTCCCCCACAGCCAAAATAAAGATGACTTTTTTATCTTTCCCAGCCAAGAGGCTACTTAAGAGCATTTCCTTAGAATGCATTGTACATGAAAAGAGGGCTGGGATTGAGAAAGGTAGACTTGATAGTTTACCTACCATAAGTATCTTAACTGAACTTTGTAGCATAGCAGTCATAATTTCTGTAATCGACAAAAATAGCCTGGTTGCCAAGCAATACTATTTCTCATTCTTGACCTTAGTAGAAGCTTTCAACCTCTAGACTTAAGCAGTCTTAAATTATAGATGTAAGAAGCTCTAGCCTGCAACATCTGTCACTGGATTTATTGGCAGGGCTGATTCTGCTGAGCAGACTGGCTAGTTATGTGTCACTTTCCTTATTCTCTGGTCAATGTGTGTTTCTCCTGAAGTTTCACCCTCAGTCAAATTCACCTTCCTAGTATCAGAAGACTATTTGAGTCACCATTTCCTTACTAGAACCACCACACTCATTCCAAGAAATCCTAAATTCTATTCTGCTTGTGAAATAAACGTCATTGTTCCTGGAGGCAGCAGTCTTTTATTTCTGCCTGTTCAGTTTTTACTTTCCTTGGCTTGAATCTTGCTTTCCACATCTTCATCTCTAGCATGAACTAGCAGCAGTTCTGGGATCTCCCATGATAATGTCCAACTAGATGTTCCTCAGGCACCAATGCAGAGCTCCTGTGCAGAGTTTCATACCAGGAGTAACTTCCCCTAAAGCCACAGTAGATACACATCTGGTCTACCTCTAAAGGAAACTCTTCCCTCTGCAGGACAATGATGTACAATGAAAGTATCTTTATCTTCTAACAACATGTGACGCCTTTCACAGAGTTCTAGATTGAAAATACACTTTCCATGTGTGTGTAGAATTAGAAATATTTGAAGTCTTTCTCTACTAATGTTTCTGTGTTAATGATTAAGGAAAAATTGCTAATTTTGTAAAAACTCTTTCTTACAAGAGTAAATAGGTACTATTTAAGGATAATTTTTAATTAAAGCAGAACATTTTATTAAGGAAAAGAAAAGCTGGTGCTTTTTAGGGTCTTAAGTTTTAAGCTCTTACCATTTTGTTTCTTACCTTTTATTTTTTACTTAAATTATAACCACTTAAATGGATTTTAGAACTGTTTCCTTGCACAGCCAAAAGTTTTCAGGAGAGGGGGAATATCAAAGTGTGTGTGTGTGTGTGTGTGTGTGTGTGTGTGTGTGGTGCAGGTGTCCTCAGAGGTCAGAGGTATCAAATGACCCAGGAGCTGGAGCTATAGACAGTTGGGAGCTACCTGATATGGGTGCTCGGAATCAAACTCTGGCCCTTTGAGAGAGCACTGTGCTTTCTTGGCCACTAATCATCTCTACAGTCCCTTTTCTAGCTTGGGTTTTCATTTGTTTGTTATTGTTTTGTAAACCTGGAGCTTACTAACAATAGGCAAGAAGAAATGAGGAAGTCAGCAGTAGAATGTTTTAACAGCAAGTGACCTGGTAATAAAAATGACTGCATTTTCTGTTCAAAAAATGAAGAGCATATACAAACAGAAGTTTAGTAATTTTTTAATTACTAAAAAGTTAGAAAAATATATAATATAAGAGTAACAGGAAGAGATGCTGAGTTTTTGCAGCTATTATTGCAAAGGGAATTACTTTAGGAAAAGAATAAATGGATTTCCACTTGCTTCTCTAACCATGTAGCCCTCTAGTTTGTTCTGCCACTCTCCCTCCTTCCTCTCCTTTCTCAGTGACCCCAACAGCCCTTACCTCACTGTAGCATGACAGGTAAAAGTCCATGTCTCTTCTTTTGGCCACGTCATCTCTTCTCTTCCCTTAGCTTACTCTGTCTTGTTGTTGTTGTTGTTGTTGTTGTTTGCAGGTCTGTGGCTGTCCACTCTATTGGAAAGCCCCCATGTTCAGGGCTGCAGGAGGAGAGAAGACTGGACTTGTGACAGCACAGTCATTCATCGCCATGTGGAAAAAGTAAGTACGTGAACAGTCATTCTGAGAGAAATGATGTGGTCCTTATAAATGGTATTTATATTATTAGTTTATTCATTTTCTTTGAATCTTAGGGCTCAGTAAGGAAAATTCTGATCCATTACCTTTTATACCTACAAATTCTTTGCCATAAGACTTTGTCTTTTATGCCTTTAAACAATTTCAGGTTTGGTGACACATTCCTTTAATCTTAGCACTGGCTAGCCAAAGGCAAGCAGATCTGTGAGTTTGAAGCCAGCCTGGTCTACATAGCTATTTCAGGCTTGTCAGGGCTACCTAGTAAGACCCTGTCTCAAAAATGAGGCTAGAGAGGTGTCTGAGCAGTTAAGAGCACTGGCTGATCCTTTAGATGACCTTAGGTTGATTCCTAGCATCCACATGATGACTGATAGCCTTCTATATCTCTAGTTCTTGGGATCCAAAGCCCTCTTATTGCCTCCTCAGGCACCAGGCATGCATGTAGTACATACAAACAGAACACTAGTACACATAATTTTTTTCTAGTTTTTAATATCGTATTTTTAAACAGTAAAGCAAATCTGCAGAAATACTTTTAAATAGCTATTTGACGGTTTCTTTCTTGGTTTTACCTATAAAAGTAGAGAGTCAGAATTTGAATCCAATAATAATGATAAAAGTAAATAAAGATTCTTTTAAGGGCAGAACCATGTGTATCACATAGATAAGAGTGCAAATATGAGGACTTAAGTTCAAATCCCCAGCACCCACATAAAAAGCCAGGAATGGTTGTGTGTACCTGTAACCCAAGCATAAGACGCAGAAACAGGGAGATAGCAGGATCTCATTGCCATCCAGTCTTGTAGAAACTTCAGGTTCAGTGACAGATGCTGCTTTAAATGAATAAAGAATTGTAAAGATGTAGGAAGCGCATATCCTCCAGCCACCACAGCACACATGCACTGTGCCTGCACATCCCCAGGAATGCACCACTCTCCCCCTTAATCATACCCCCCCTCACATACTCCAGAATAAATTTTAAAAAGAAAAATATACTTACAGTCTTAAATATCCAATGGAAAATTATATCCAGTTGATTTATCAAAATCATTGCATTTTTACAGATATAGATATTTAGATATATGGTTTTTCTATACAAGGATTCTCAGTATAACAGCCCTGGCTGTCCTGGAACTGTCTTTGTATACCAAGCAGGCCTCGAACTCACAAAGATCCACTTGCCTCTGTTTGGTGACAGTCTTATGTAACTCAGGATGGGCTCATACTCATTAGTGATCACTTAGACTTTCTGACCTTCCTACTTCCCTTTTTCAAGTTCAGGGATTTACAGGTGTGCATCACTACACACTGGGTGTATGCAGTGCTGAGGACTGAACCCAAGGCTTTATACATGCTAGGCAAACTACCAACAGAGATATGTTCTGTCCCCTAGGTGTTATTTCTTAAAACGCTATTTAGGACAGTGGTTTTCAACCTTTCTAATGTTGTGACCCTTTAATACAGTTCTTCATGTTTTGGTGACCTCCAGTCATAAAACTGTTTCATTGCTACTTCCTAACTTATTTTGCTACTGTTATGAACCATAATGTAAATATTTAATATATAGGATATCTGATATGCAACCCCCCACAAACACACAAAGTGGTCATGAGGTTGAGAACTGTTAATTTAGGAGATTAGGGACAGTGACTTAGTTAGGGTTTCTATTGCTGTGATGAAACACCATGACTAGAAAGCAAAGTAGGGGAGGGAAGGGTTTTTTTGGCTTACATTTCCATATTGCTATTCATCATTTAAGGAAGTCAGGACAGGAACTCAAGGAGGGCAGGAATCTGGAGGCAGGAGCTGATGCAGAGCCCATGGAGGGGTGCTGCTTACTGGCTTGCTTACCATGGCTTGCTCAGCCTGCCTTCTTATAGAACCCAGGACACCAGCCCAGGGATGGCACCACCCACAATTGCCTGGGCCCTCCATCAGTCACTAATTAGGAAAATGTCTTACAGCTGGATCTTGTGGATCCTCTTCATCAAGGTTCCCTCCTTTCGGATGACTCTAGTTTGTGTGTCAAGTTAACATAAGAGCACAGCCAATCTTCCCTTTTAACTGATAACCCTTCTTTGCACATGTCCTTGCTTTTTTTGGCCTCCTAGTAAAATGGAAATACTGTCCACTTATTTAAAAAATACACACATAGAATCAGCAGAATTAAACTTAGAGGATCCTTCTAATTCCTTCATACTCCTCAAAGGCTTTTAGTTGTATGATAATTTGAAAACAAAGTAAATGACTAATAAATGCATGCTTAGTCTTAAAATTCCAACAGTAAATCACATTCTTTATTGTATTAGGATTGAAGTAGTAAGGGTGTGCAAGACACTGTCAATAAACTTCTTTACAGAACTACACCCAAGCCAAAGGTTACAGTTACTTCCTATTGTCCCAGTGGGGTTTAGCCATTGTATTCCTGTATTGGTTCTGAATTGTTCAGATACCAAGGAATTTAAGAGCCTAGGAGAATCTGCACCATCTGGATGATACTTCAGAGTCACTAGTCCATCTCTCCTACAGCAGAGAAAAACAGCCTGATAAGATGTAAAGAAGATTCCTTTTTAAATGTGTATAGAAGTAGTGGTAAAAGTAAGAGACTTCCTTGGAGCTAGAAGTAGCACAAAGAAAGAAAAATCGAAAAATGTACTAATGAGCAGCATACACCAACAGGAGAAAATGCATTTGTCCTTGAGATGGTTTTTTTCTTATTTAATAAAATTATTTCGAGAATGTTATACATGAGTACTATGTTTATATCATTTCTACCCCTCATCCCAACTTCTCCTGTGTCCCTTTCCGTGGTATTCTAGAACCAGGAACAGGAAAAGATCCTAAGGCCTGACTAGCAGGGACCTTCCGTCAAAGTCCACATAGCACTCCCCAGGCCAGCCAGGACTATAGACAGACCTGTCATAAAAATAAACAAATATAGTAAGGAACTCAGCTCGGTCTTTTCCTTTCCCAGTAGCAAACTCAGAATTTGAACTGAGAATTTGGGGTTTAATTGGTATGTAAAACCAGTAGTAAGATTTTAAGAATTTAAAATTTATAGATGGTTGGGCTTCTTCAACTATCTTCCTTTATCCAGGTAGATGCCTAGCCCTGAAAAGTCCTCATCTGTAACATGAACTAGAGTTTAAAGGAGTAAATAACTAACACAGCCCTTGTCAGAGGCTTCTTTAGTCAATGAGTCAAATTATTGGTCAAAAACTACCTAGCAGTCTAGGAAAAACGTGAGTGTTGATTAAGAGAAAGCTGTAAACAAACTGGAAGTTAAAAATAAATAGGAAATAGTGGAGCAGAAGAGATATCATATCTAAACAGAGGAAATATATCTGCTGATATTATATCTTTAATAGTCTAGGACAGTTGAGTAATCGAGGCTGACTGTAGCAAAGGACAGCTTGTGTCCAGTTTGATTTACATGTTTACTGGGAGAGTCACAGCCAGTTTTTAGTTGAGACTTAGAGAGGGGGTAGAGCAGCACAGCAGTGACAGCCTCCGCAGTCATACCCATCCATTGAAAGGAGTTGCCATCTCTGAGGAAAAACAACTTCTCAGTAAAGTAAAGGAACAAAAAGTCATGATGGGCAAGTCTGCAGAAAACTGTTCACAGAGTTACACACACAAGCAACTGTTCCATCCCTCTGTGGGAAGAGTCCTACTGAACGAGTGTGCATTGTCAGTTACTAAAATGGTTTGGGTGCCCTCTAGTGGGAACTCCTCTTAAAATGCCATTTAAAAGCCAGATTCTGTAAGAAAGGCTTAAGTCTGAGTATTTAGGAACACCAAGTGAATGATGGTTTGAGGTACCATCCCTAGGAAAGGGATTTGAGTTTTTAAATTTTTTTTATGAATTTCACCCTTCACAGAAAGCAATTTGTGTATTTTATATAAAATGTTTAAGCCAGGCATAAGGGCTCATGCCTGTAGTCCCAGCACTTTGAAAGCCAATGGAAGAAGATTGCTGTGAGTTCCTGTGTAGCCTGAGCTGCAATATAAGATACTGTAAGTCCAAAAAGTATTCAGGCACAAAGAATAACTGGAAGGTGAGAATATAGAATTAAAATGTTTTGACATAGGCATGTATCGTAGCTTGCTCTGTTAATGAGAGCTGTATAGAATCTTTATTACTAAAGTCAAATAGAGAAGTCACAAGCTGCTGTCAGAATGCCTTTGGGTTGGTTTTGGAATGAGCACCGTAAGATTCGCCCCTCCTTCTTGCCTCATCTCATCTCAGTGTTGCTACCCATAGCATCTCTACACTCGCTCTTAGAGCCAGGACAGTTTTTAGGGGGAAGTCACAGCTCTACCTCCTCTTCTTACATTGCTAGAACACCAACTTTGGGGCAGAACTCCTCTTGAATCAAAACAAAGTTCTAGCTTTGCTCTACTTTCTCTTCCGGTTCATATCAGTTTGTCATTTGTCACTAATAAAACAACACTTGCCTTTAAAAGCATATGGTCAGTTTAGAATAGCTATGCCTGCCTTCATTCTTCAGTTTTTATGGCTTTCTTTTTAAGTTTCATTTTAAAAATCTCTTACCTTATGGAGTTCATCAGCCTAGAACACTAACAAAAAACTATAAATCACCTTTTTCTATTTCATGCTTTTTGATTTTGATTTTTTTAAAAAAAAAAAAGCCTAACTTGACTTTGTCATTTTAGATTATTTTCTCATCGATTGCATACTCCAATCCTTTTCTTAAAATGTATAAAAATGCTTCTCTTTATAGATCTCATCACTTTTTCTATTATACCATCAATTTTCCAGTCCTATGAGGTGGTCTTCATTAGCACCCACTGTACTAATCTTCCTTTATAATGTATACTTACTTAACTAATGGTAAGGGCAGTAAGAATAAAAATAAATGTCTGACTGTAGCTCAAAACAAAGTCAGTGTGGTGTTTGTTAGATCACTAGCATTTTGAGAGTGCTCTCTGCATATGTCAGTGAGCCATGTTCTTGTACATATATTTAAAAAGCTATAACTATCTACCCTTTAGTTGTCAAAGAAGAAACGTAAAGCCAACAGTACAGTAGCACATATAATTGACATTGCGACTACAGAGATCAGAAAGGACTAGGCCTTAAAAAAGAACATAACAGCATGAGAACAACAGAAAGATCAAATTGCATATGCCTCAGACCAGCTGCCTGGAGTGGTAGTTTCATTTACCAAAGTAGTAAGATGGGCGGGTAGGCAATTAAACTTATGCATTTAAGTGGTAGCATACTGTACATTTTTGAGTAAGAGACTTGAATAATCAAAGATTGTTGTAGAATTGTCTGCTGAAAAGTTGGATGAGCAGTGAAGTCTGTGAAGACTCCCTAGCAGTCTCACCATGAGTTTATAAGGCCCAGAACTTGCAGAGTATAGTAAAAAAAACAGCAAGAAGCAGTTGTCCAGAACACTTTGTGGGAAATTCCTTCAGGACTCCAGTTTTCCCATATATAAACCAAGTACCTAATGGTCTTGGCTAGAGCTGTACCTTTCTCACTCCATGCTTCTACAAAGCACCCCATCCTTTCCTTTCACTCTATCCAGTGTTGCCCTTTCTGTTTCATACTGCCAGCATCAAGCATCAGACTTAGAGTTTTTGAAAGTCACATCTGACCATGTCACTGTCTGAGTTAAAATTCTTCTGTGGCGCAAAGTCTTGGCCTGATACAGAGAGGCCATCTTAGATTTTATTCACACATGCCCCTCCTCTTACTACCTCCACACTTTGTGTTGCCCAGATGGTATAAGACTCACAGTAGGCATCTGTGCGTGCTGCCCTCCTCACCACAACACTTCTCTCTGCAGGGAGTCTCACAGGACTCCTCCATCCTTTCATAATACCTGTACTCGTTACTTAATACTGTGGTGGTTCCCCAGTCATAATTCCACCAGAAACCAAACACTGGACTGTACATTCCTTATAGAGAATAAAACTATCTTATTTTCTTTTATCCAAGCCCATTCAAAGCCAGATAAAATACCTGACATACCCTTAGCATTCAATAAATCATTGATGAAGGAAAATAAGAAAATCTGGAGTTAATAATTAGATATAGACAATAAGAAATAGAAAATAATTAAATGACTCCAAAATTTGAAATCCAGATAACAAAGACTAGTAACACCTTTTTTCCTATTGTTATTGTTTTTGTTTTTAAGACAAAGTTTCTGTCCTGGAAGTAGCTGTCCTGGAACTAGCTAGCTCTGTAGTCCAGGCTGGCCTCAAACTCACCAAGATTGTCCTAGCTCTGCCTCCCAAGTGTTGGCATTAAAGGTATGTGCCACCACTGCCTGGCTTGGTACCACCATTTTTACAAAAAAAAAAAAAAAAAAGTCCAAGAAAAAGAGTAGTTTGAAAAGCTTTTAAGTTTTGCTTTTTCAGTGTTTTGACTTTTCTCTCAGGGTATATGGAACTATAGTTGGAGGCGAAGAATTCTAGAAACTTAGAATACGTAACAGAGGACTGGTTTTCTGAAGCTTCTTCTTTAAACGTCGAAGTTTAAAAGCCCCCTGTCAGGCTTAACTGAATGACCCTTCTCCCCTAATAACGCATATTTTACCTGGATCAGTTCGTTTTGCCCTGTGGTCTCACTCTCAAAAACATTCCAGAAGAAAAGTTCACCATCGTGTAATTGATATTCCTTTGACAAAAACCAGAAGCATGGAAGCCATGAGAAGGGGGGGAGCATCTGGTCAGGGGGACAGTCGTAGGGGACTTGCACAAAGCTTACCCTTTAATTCCCAGCTCTGAAAATGAAAAGACAAACAACATTTGATTCTTAATCTAAATAGCATCCAAGTCAGAATAAAATTACCAGCCTGTAAATGTGTAGTCACTGTATGTTCTGAAAACCAGATCTTCCTAACCAGGTTTTCTTTTGTAGGTTGCTAAGTAACCATCATGACGATGCCTCCAAGTTCATCTGGCTTCTGGCAAAGCCCAGCCACAGCTATCTAGAACAAGAGGATTTTATCCCTTTACTTCAGGTGATTCTTTTTTTTGTACCTTTTAAAAATGGAATTTATTTTTGGAGTTTGAAAGGGGTTTTTTGCAAGTTTTTTTGGCTGGTTGTTTCTGGTATTTTTTTGTTTGTTAATAATGGCATCTTACTGTATAGCCGGTGCTAATGTCAAACTCTTAATCCCAAATGCTAGGATTAAGGTATATGCCACCATATACCTTACGGTGATTCTTTTTTTCATTTTAAAGTATAACTATAATTTTTCATTCTAAAGTATAACTATGCAGTTGAGTTACATACATAAAGGCTAGATTGCTAAGAATAGTTTTCAAATTGTTTAGTAGTAAAAATTTTGTTAAATAGAATCTAAAACAGAGCTCAGTATAAAATAGATAAAACAGGGCTGTTCCCACTACATCCAGCCTGCTCCTTAGTCATTCACAGTAAGCACTGAAACATCTTATGAAACTTCAGAATTTTAAAGATAATTTGAAAAAATGCTGACATCAACCATAGTTAAGAACCTAGCAGGAACTGATAGCATTTGGAAGAGATAAATATCTGTTTTCTTAATGGAATGACACTGGGTGTATCAACCATTCTCCAATTCAAGCCTCATTGGTCAGGAAGAGTTGGCCAACATAAAATGAACCGAGGTCAGGGGAGGGGGCGATGTTTTGTTGTTTGTTTCTAAGATTAAGAAAACTTGAAGTTGAGGATCCAGGAAGAAAAAGAATATAATCAAATAATGTTGTATGAAGATTTTAAAAAATTAAAAATAAAGAAATCATATTGGAAACAAGAAAAGGCTATGAAATAATCAAAATAACTATCATTAACTCTGTAGTCTTGGAACTCGGTGTATCTGGACTCTGATTTACGCACATATCTAAAATGGCTCTCTGATTTTTCCACTAAGATCTGTTTGTAACAGAAGATTAGAATAGGAGGAAGAGCTGTGCATGGTGGTGCTTATTAATGCTTGCCTATAATCCTAGCACTGGAAACTGAGCAAGAAGATATAACCCACACTACTAAACATACCAAGACCTGTCTCAAGAAACCAATGAATGAATGATGAAATAAGAGAATGGAAACGTGAATCCATCACACTGAGATTTGTAAGGACAGATCCTGGGCTGCCACCAGCCCATGAAGGTAGACAAGGAGCACAGTAAAAAGAAAATACTTGTAGGAGAGGAAAAAAGACACAAAGCCTGCCTCAGAGCACTCCAGCCTAGGAATAATTTAGGTTAAGGGCAATAGGCCTTATTACTATCACCAGATTTCAGAGAAATTAGTAATTTATATTATTTGCATAGGCTCTCTATTTAGTCATCCAGGGAACACATTTGTGTGGAACAATTTTCACTAATGGAAACAAATAAATGAAACAACAGAACACTTCTCATTTTTTCTTTTCTGTTTCAGAGATGTTATAATCTGTTGTTTACAAATATGTTTTCTACATGTAGAAAGGATATGTCTCAGATCTTTATAACTAAATCTCAGAACTGTAAGTGTGTTCTGAGATGGAGCATTGGCCCAATGGTTAAAAGCAATGTTGCTCTTGCAGAGAACTCAGTTCTATTGCCAGCAGCCACATGGCAGCTCCAACATCCTCTTGTGGCCTCTGTGATCTCCAGGCATGTAGTACACAGACAAACATGCGGGCTAAACACTCACACACATAAATCATCCAAAACACTTTTTAAGAAGTTTTTATTTTCTGTTTTTATATTAGCCTTTATATGCAAGTCTGGAAGAAAATGTTATTTTTCCTACAATTCCCTCAGCATGGAGCTGTGCCCCAGATCTGAAGTTGGGGGATTATTACTGAAGTAACAGTAATCTATAGCCAGAGATCTTTCAAATCCAGAGGTTCTTTACTTTCTCTGTAAAATAAATCAGTCCCCAAATCTATTCAAGTGTGTGTTTGTGTGCACGGATGTGTGTGCGTGTCTGCATATGTATTGTATGTACACTCTGTACTCATAGAAGCTTGAGGAAGATATCCTGCTCTAAACACTACCCACCTTACTCCTTTGAGACAAGATCTCTCATTAAACCTGAGCTCAGCTACTAGCCAGCAAGCTCCAGAGATCCTGCTATCTTTGTCACTTACACTGCTAGGAAAGATGTTCAACAGGGATGCAAATTTAAATAGGAGTATGTTCAAGAGATTATTTTGAAATACACTGACTATAATCAATAACAATGTATAATATTCTTGTTTGGTTTTGGTTTGGTTTGATTTGAGACAAAATCTTGCTGTTCTGAAACTCACTGTGTGGACTGTCTTAGTTAAGGTCTGTGAACGGACACCATGACCAAGGCAACTCTTATAAGGACAACATTTAATTGAGGCTGGCTTACAGGTTCAGAGGTTCAGTTCATTATCATCAAGGCAGGAACATGACAGCGTCCAGGCAGACATGGTGCAGGAGGAACTGAGAGTTCTACATCTTCATCTTAAGGCTCCTTGGAGAAGACTGAATTCCAGGCAGCTATGAGGAGGGTCTCAAAGTCCACTCCCATAGTGACATACTTCCTCCAACAAATCTATACTTCCTAATAGTGCCACTCCCTGGGCCAAGCATATACAAAACCATCAGATAGACCATACTGGCCTTGAACTCAGAGATCCTCCTGCTTCTGCCTCCCACATGCTTAGATTAAAGGTACGTGCCACCTTGCATGGCTATAATGTATATTCTGGAAAATTCCTAAGAGTCAGTTGTAAATGTTTTCACCACACATGAAAGAATGAATATTACAACTGCCATGGGTACTGAGAATAAATGATGGTTGAGTGCTCAGCTCTAAACAGGACATTTATACCACTCATCTGAGGCTCAGAAAATATCACGGAAAAAGGAGTAGAAAGAATGTAAGAGCTGGAAGACAGGGAGAAAGACTGTGAAATGTTATCATTTCATGGCACAGCCATTGCAAATCCGCTCATAGCACCTGCAGTTGTTTGCACTGGGCTTATACAAAACTGGGCTTATCACCCGCCATAGTTCAGGGAGGGGGATCATGGGGCCTTAACCTTCCATCCTAATTTGCCTCTCTGTTGCTATGACAAAACACTAACCCAAAGCAACTTGAGAAGGAAAGGGTTTATTTGGCTTACATGTCTCTATCACAGTGCATCACTGAGGGAAGTCAAGGCAGGAACCATGGAGGAGAGCTGCTTATTGACTTGCTTCCCATGACTTATTCTTGTTCTTATACCACTCAAGACTGCCTGCCCAGAGATGCTCCCACCCACAGTGAGCTGGGCCTTCCACATCAATCATTAATCAAGAAAATGTTCCACAGGCATGCCTCCAGGCCAGTCTAATGGAGACAGTTCCTCCATTGAGATTCCTCTTCCCACATTTGTCTAATTGTCAGGTTGACAAAAACTAACCAGCCCACCTTACCTGCTGAATTACTGGCTATTGTATATTCTGAAGACGGGACAGTCATTTCCTTTAGTAGTGTACCTAATGATGAGCCTACCAGGTTCCTACAGAGAGTTCCAAACCTGTGGTCACACACAGAACCCTGCTTAAAATCAGGGAATAACAAAATAAAACAAAAAGACATAAAAGCAAGAAAGGAACTTGCAGAGAGAAGCAGGAATGGTGTGTAGGATGACCTTGAACTCATGATCTTCCTACCTGTACCTCCAAGTACTGGGATTATACACTGGTACCACCATACATGTTTGAGATGTTGGGTGTCAAACCCAGGGCTTCATACATGCTAGGCACACTATCAACTGAGCTATATAACCCACCCAGTCCTTTAAAGTTTTTACTGTGAAAAAGTGTTTTATTGTTTTAATTTGGTTTGGTTTTATTTTGTTTTGAGTTTGTTTTGTTTGTTTCTTTGAGGCAAGATCTCATTATATAGCTCTGGCTGACCTGGAACTCAAACTCAGAGATCTGCTTGCTCACCTCTGCCTCCCAAGTGCTAGGATTAAAGGCATGCACCACCATGCCCATCTGAAAAGTGTTTTAAGTATATATCTGGAAGTGGTTTTACTATATAGCTAAGACTAACTTCAAACTCACTGTGGAGGCCAGGGTGTTCTTGAATTTACAGTCCTTCTGCTGAACCTCCTGGGTGCTGGGATTACAGGTGTGTATCACTATGCCCAGCCTTGTTATGGATAATTTTGATCATACACAAATGGAGGGGGAAATGTAGTATAGTTAACCCTGTGTACCTGTCAACCTAGCCCCCAATATTAAGAAATAAAGAGGCAGAGAACAGAAAAACCAATAGCAATTTTGCTAAATTGAAATTTGTTTTATTTTATTTTTGTTTTTATTTTGAAACAATATCTCACTATGTAGCCATGGGTGGCCTGGAACTTCCCAGGTAGACTAGGCTGACCTCAGATTCATAGAGATCTGCCTGCCTTTGCCTCTGGCTCTGGAGTACTAGGATTAAAGGCTTAAATTGAAATCTAGTGCTTAACAATATTAACTAATTTGATCAAAAGAAAAGGGGTGTGTGTGTGTGTGTGTGTGTGTGTGTGTGTGTGTGCACAATGGAATATTTTTTATCTACAGAGGAAATTAGATTATGATGTTTGCAGAATAATTTAAAGGGACTGGAGAGCAAATAAAATAATCTAGACTCAGACAAATCCTTTATGTTTTCTCACATGAGGGTTCTAGATTTAAGTGTGTGTGTGTGTGTGTGTGTGTGTGTGTGTGCACGCGCACGTGCATGTGCATGCACATGTGTATGGAAGAATGCCTTGAAAGTAAAAAGGAAGCCATGGGATGAAAAGAAGAAAGCTTAAGGGATTCAGGGAAAGAGAGGGTAGTACAATGTATATGCTAGAATAAACGGCTTTTTTGAAAGAAGGGAACCAGCAACAATGTCCCAGGAAGACTAGGGAAAGGCATTATGGGAAACAGATAAGTAAGAACAAAACTCTAATGACTTCTATGTATGAAAATGCCTTGATAAAAACCATTGCTTTTTATACTAGCTTTAATTTAAAAAAAAGTAAATACATTCTTAAATTTCTGTTTACTTACTTTATATGTATGAGTGTTTTGTCTATATATATATATATATATCTGGGCACCACATGCATGCCTGGTGCCAATGGAGGCCAAAAAAGGATGTTGAATCCCCTGGGACTGGAGTTAAAGATGGTTGAAAGCTACCATGTGGGTACTGGGAATTAAACCTAGATTATCTAGAAGAGCGCCAGTGCTCTAAACTACTGGGCCATGTCTGTATCCCCAAATGCATTTCTTCAAAAAGAGGAAAATGAATAAAGTACTAACAATCTCAAGTATGGAATTGCCTACATTCAAACAGAAGAAAAGTTAACATCACAGAAGACTATTTTAGTCATTTCTATGTCATTTTGGTAGTGGGCTTGGAACAGAGTGGCTGATGGCCTGCAGAGCAACATGCCTAAGTTCTGTTCTAATTATTGAAATTCATACCTCACCCATGACTTCATCCATGAGAAAGACACTAGGAAAGTGCACTAGGTAGAAGACAAACAGAGTGCAGCGTCAGCCCTAACTGACACTGACAAATGGAAGACCTAACTCAGAGCCTGCCTGACAACACCAATGGCTGCATTCCAACAAAGAAAGACACCTGCAACTCCATATTCCCCTCTTCCTGTAGGACATAATCCTGCCTACCTCTATTCTCCCCATTTTGTCTTACCTTGGTATGATGCCAGGATCCCACAGAAGTCCTCACATGATGGCAGTGATAGGCCCTTCTCTTAAGATAATACCAGTGGAACCTGGAAAGAGGCTGTTTATGGGAGATGACATGCTGGTGACACATGGGCCTCCAACCGTTAGAGCCGCTGTCCCTTGGTTATACCCACTTATCCAAACAAATCAAGATAAGGAAAGGCTTCTATATATCAATTTTATTCTATTTATTCTACTTCTCCAGGAGATTATTGTGCTGTGACTCTGTTTTATAACAATATAACAAGAAAGATTCACTTCCATCTTCTTATCAAATAATTTGGGAAAGAAGAAATGGAACCAGAAATGTGTTTTCATTTGTATTGTAAAAATTAAATTAATTCTTTTAGTTAAAAAACAGAAGGGTACTATACAAACCCTTTGGGAATAAATTTTAAAACCTAAGTGAAATGAACAATTTTCTAGAAAGACATATGTGACACAGATTGCCCTTATTTGATTTGGAAAATTTAACAGACTAATTTCTACAGATGTTGTAAAGACAGTAATAAACTACTTCTCTAAAAAAGCCAACAACAGGTAGTTTCACAAGAGAAATTGTCCAATTTTTCAAGGACCAGGCAGTCTATGTTCTATAAATCATTCCAGAGTATTGAAATGGACACTCTATAGATCATTTCTAAAACAAACATTACTGATACCCAAATCAGGTAAACATATTGCAGAGAAAACTGCAAATAAATGCAATTTCATGACTAGTGATGAAATGCAACCATATAGAATATGCCATGACTCAGTGACATTTAGCCTAGAATATGCAGGGCTAGAGAGATGCTCAGTGTCCAAGAGCACTTGCTGTTCTTGCCAAGGGCCTGGGTTCTATTTCTTTCTGCAGTAGATGGTGATTAATACAAATACCCACAATTGGTTTGTGTGCAGAGGATAAAAGATATGGAATGCTCAGCTCTAAGTGGGACAGGAATCATTACAGAGGAGAGACAAAAAGATTGTAAAAGCCAAAGGTAATAGGTAGACATCGATACACAACAATATTTGCCAGAGCTATGTCATGATGGCTAAAGGAGGGAAAGTCAGCTTTCTTCAGGGATGTGGTCCTTGAGAAACTACCCATGTTGTAGTAAATGGTCCTACACTCATGCACTTACATGAAATACTAAGTGGACCTGATGGATTTTAAAAAAGAACACATGAAGTTGGGAGGTCGAAAACGGCAGGTAATAAAGGAGGAAATGGAAGGAAGGGAATGGGAGGATACATTTCATCAAATACAATTGTAGACATGAATAAAATCCTCAGACCAAAAAAATAATAAAAAATAAGGCCAAAGCAACTACATACAAATATTATATTAGTATGTATATTTCTTAATAGTAATAAGAGTAGTTCTTTTGGTATAGTAGGATTGAGCAAGTAACTAACTACATTATAAAAGAAAGCCAGGTCTCTCGCTTTATAGTTACAAGGAAAAGAAGGAAAGCATGAGTAAACTTTGTGGTACTGGGTTGGAATCAGAGTTATTAATACATAGTATTTGATACATATCTATATAGTTTAACAAAGGCACATAACATGAAAATCCTAGTTATGCTACTACAGGGTCTGAAAGCAGTGATAATCAGTAATAATGGGCACACATAGCAACAATACTCAACTTCTAAAGTTCTTCTCCACTAAAATGACCTACAGATGTTTAGAAGGTTGCTATAAAATATGGGGAAAGGAAAATACAAGATGAACTTAAAGAACAAATGATGGGGCAATCTGAAGAATCCCAAATGAAAGAGTTTCACATGGCCAAAGCTGGGTCAATTTGAGTCACAAGACTAATCATATATTGCCTGTGTGGTGCACTAGAAAGGGACACAGCATTACTTTTATGGTTGTTCCTGATGAAAATATGTGAACTTAATCTGCTTGAGGAAAACTTAAGACAAAGCCAAACTGAGAGATGTATCTTACCAGAATTCTTTAAAAGCATTGCAGTCATGAAAACAGGAAAGAAGAATCACAGGTCAGAGACCAGAGAGACCAGAAAGACAGATGCAATAGACCAGAGGGACAGAATTGGGAAGTGATGAAATATGAATCGGGTCTATAGTTAAGTACTGTACAGATGTTTATTTCCTAGTTTTGATCATTGTTCTGTGGTTTGTGGGTTACTCTCTTTGGAAGATGGAAGAAAGGCATAGAAAGTTTCTCCGCAATATTTTTCACAATCCATCTGAAAATCTCAAGTTATTTCCAGATTTACAAATCTACAAGCAGTAAAATCCAGTTTTAAGCTGTTTGGATAGAAATTAATAGATATGTCTGTTTTGGCATTGCAGTTGCCTCTGGCAATTAATTTTAGAGTAACTATTTCTGATAGTCTCTAGGGTCATAAAGTGCTTTCAAACTCCAATTAAGCATTAAAAAAAGTTTTCAAAGTCTTATCTAATAATCCCTCACAAGAACAAGATAATAGATTTTAAGATAAATAAAATCTTAAATTAAAAACAAATTTGTCCACATATTTTTTTTTCTTTATATCAAGCAGGCCTCAAATGTGGAACCTTCCTGTCTTATCTCTTCTTTCACTTGTAGAAAGACACGTGGGCCAGCACACCTGGCTACAGTGTGTTTTTTTTAAACAAACAAACAAAGATGTTGGGCATTCGCATGGCTCTTCAGCTTCTTCACCCCCAAAATTTCATGCCTCTAGATTAAGGAATAAAATCATTTTTGTTGGCTTGTCTCTGTCATAACTATTAGTAAATCCTACCGAGATTTGTGGGATGGCTTTTTCAGGTAACCTTTATTGTGCTGTGATTGAAGAACATACATACCTCTAAAACATTTGACTCACAAATTGCTTAAAAAAATAATTTAAATTTTTATATTTCAGCATATTGTGCTCATGTAGAAAATCATGTATTATAAACATGCTTTTAATAAAGAATTAATTAAATTTTCAGTGTATTATGCAGTATTCCAGAATAGAAGATTTGCTCAACCTATTTCACAAAAAGGAAAAACTTCTGAAGAGGTTTTGTTTTGTTTTGTTTTGTTTTGTTTTTTTATTTTGTTAACTTAGTTTTGATTTCAATCTTTTTAAGGATGTGGTAGATACACACCCTGGCCTCACTTTCCTGAAAGATGCTCCAGAATTCCATTCCCGCTACATCACCACGGTAAGATGAGTACTGATTTGTTGTAATAACACGGCTTAAGTCACCTCTTTATTGTTACCTTGTATCCAGGCTTTCACAGTGTTATGCAAAAGGTACTTTGGTCTATAATGATTACTTTAAATGGAAATAAGGTAAAAAGTGAAAATAAGTGGATAATTTATTTGTATTCATATCCCTTCACATGTGGGTCAATACTTAAAAGAAGACTGTGGTATAAAATTGCACTAATATTCTGTCTAGTATTATAAGGCATACATTTACTCTTTTTCGAGATTTATTTTTATTTTTATGGGCATTTTGCTTCCATGTATGTCTGTGTTCATGTGTATGCGGTGCCTGAGGAAGCTAAGAGAAGGCATCAGATCCCCTAGAACTGGAACTAGAAGACTGTCGTGAGGCACCATGTGGATGCTGGGGATTGAACCTGGGTCCTCTGGAAGTGCAGCTTAACTTCTAATCCACCTCTCTACCCAATGTCTTTACTGTTACAGATTTTCATATTTGGTGAGCTTCAGCATTTCTAAATAATACTGAAAATAACTGTCCACAGTTATTTCCCTCAAAAAAAGATGTCTCTAGGCCCCTAAAATTGTGTCTAGAGGATAATAAGTAGCTTATGTGTAAACAGAACAAAACATATGGGAATCTAAAACAACATGCTCACAATTCCAGTGTATGAGGTGCTCACACTCCTTGTTTGTCAGCTAGTGTGATCTGATGAGCCACAGGTCATCTCTAGTGACAAGGTACAGGCCAGCAGTGCAATCTCTGCCCACATAACCCCAGGATCGTCTAGGGGAGAGGTATTCAAAACACAAGCTCAAGGCACACTTGATATCCACAGATACACTCAAGTGAGACAGCCTTTACCAATAGCTTACCTAGATAACTCAGGTAATTAGGACAGTCTCCTCTGGGGAGAATTCTGTCATTCTCAGAGTATAGTTCTAATATAACAAATGGCTACTATGTTATTTGAGTATTTCTCCCTGTTGGAATGTGCTTTTGCTTTTCCATTGTTTCTCTTTTGATGCTAAAATACTTGGTAAGATTTTGGCCAGTAAAAAAGCTCAGCAGCTAGACATGGTGATATCTACCTTTAAGCCAAGCACTCAGGAGGCAGAGACTAGTGAATTTCTATGAGTTTGGAGACCAGCCAGTTCTACACAGCAAGTTTTAGAACAGCCAGAACTACATAGAGAGCTTGTCTCCAAAACAAGCAAACAAAAGAGGCTTAGCAGCCTAGCTAGCAAGCCTAGTTACCCAAGTTTGGTACCTAGAACAATATGGTGGAAAAAGAGAACCAACTCCCATAAGTTATTCTCTGGCCTCCATACTCATGCCATGGAATGCACATACACACACAAACAACACACACACACACACCAGAAAGAGGCAGATAGAAGATTAAATTTTAAAATAAATAAAATGTAACTTTTTTCTATCCAGAAGGTGGTGTCCTTATCATGGCAGACTACATCAGAAGTTAGCATTGCTCAGTAGCCACTGTCTCCCCGCAGTCCAAGTACTTGCTCACTTGGATGGCTTCTGATTGGTCTTTTTGTTTCTACCATCACAGCCTATACAGACTAATCTTCCCAAAACAGTTACTCTTTAAAAGTACAAGTCAGATCACATGACTGCTCTGCTCCAACCTTCCCGTAGTTTCCCATCTCACTTGGAATAAAACCCACAATCTGTCAGTACTTCCTTGTCTCCCTCATACCTGTGCAGTTTTGCTCACTAATGTTCTATGACTAGCATACAAAGTAATGTTTCATTATGGAATTTTAGGGAAAGTTGTTTTGATTGATTCTCCTATCCTCCTGGTTCTCCTGCTCTCTGTGACCCTCTCTGTTTTCATGTCACATGTGCTCTGCTGCCCTCCTCTCGCTGTTACACCTCTCTTCCCCTCTGTAGTTCTGCTTCACATTTCATAGCCCATGCCCACACTCAGCCTCCCTCACAAATACAAACATTAAAAATGGATCCTGGAGCTGGAGAAAGGGCTCAGCAGCTAAGAGCACTTCCTGCTCTTGCAGAAGACCTGGGATCAGTTTCCAGCATCCACATGGCAGCTCTACCATCTATAAGTCCACTTCTGGGGGACCTGGTCCCCCTTTTCTGACCTCTGTAACACTGCACGCACATGGTACACTGACATGCAGACTGGTAAAACACTCATACACATAAAATAAAAATAAATAAACCTTTCAAAACTAGGATCCATATAGGAAAAATAATGTGCAGTATTTGTCTTTCTGAGTCTGGCTTAACTTACTTAATACAGTAGCTTCCAGATCCATCTATCTTCCTGTGAATTTCATTCTCCTTATTGCTAAATAAAAGTCCTTTGTGTATCTATATTTTTTCATTGTCCACTGATTTACTGATAAACATCTAAGCTGGTTTTATTTCCTTGTTAGTGGGAAGACTGTATCATTAAACATAGAAAAAAAAATATATATATATATATATATTTATCTTTGTAATAGAATAGAGACATTTAGGTAAATGCCCAAGAGTGGTACAGATGGGTCATATAATAGTTCTGTCTTTAAGTTTTTAAAGCCTTCCTTCCATACTGATTTCCATAATTGCTATACTATTTTCCACCCCTACAAGCTGTAATAAGGATTACTCTTTCCCTACATTCTCAACAGCATTTTTGTCATCTCCTTTAAAACAAAACAAAACAAAGCAAAAATTTGCATGTCTTAGTTCCTGTTCTGTTGCTGTGGTGGAACACCATAACTAAGGCAACATGTGGAAAGAAGAATTTAATTGTGAGATTGCTTACAGTTTCAGAGTGTTAGTCTATGACCTGCAGGCTGGCAGACAGGGCACTACAACAGCAGCTGAGATCCTACATATGATTCACAAGATGGAGGCAGAGAGAGATTGAGACTGTCTCCTGTGGGCCTCTGACACTTCAAGGCCCACCTCCAGAGAAACACCTCTCCAACAAGGCCACAGTTTCTAATCCTAAACGATTCATTAACTGGGGACTAAACATTTAAATATATGAACCTATGAAGGCCAGTCTTATTCAAACCACAACGTATATGATATACATGTATGTTTACATGTTTGCCAGAATACAGGCTCATGCACACCTACAGTGTCCAGAAGAGGTGTTGGATTCCCTGGCAGTTGTAAGCCACCTGGCCTGGATGCTAGGATCTATCTAAACTTGGGTTCTCTAGGAGAACAGTATATGCTTAACCATTGAGCCATCTCTCTAGATTGTTTTCTTTTTGTCTGTTTTCTTCATGATAACTCTTCTAGCTGCGATATGATAGAATCACAAAATAGTTTTAATCTGCATTTCCCTGGAGAGTAAGGGAACAGTTAGTTGAACACTTTTTAAAATTTTTGTTGGTTATTTGTATATTTTTTCAACCTTTATTGGGGTGAGGGAAAATGTTACAAAGGATAGATTCTAATATCAAGAACAAAGGAATTGTTCACTGTATTTGAAAATGTAGCCAGTCATGGTGGTCCATGCTTACAGTCCTATAGCACTGAAGAATCACAAGCAAGTTCAAGACCAGATTTGGCTATATAATGAGTTCCAGGCCAGCCTGGGCTACTGAGTGAGATCCTGGGTCAAATCATGAAGGAGGAGAAAAGGAAAGAAAAATAATGGTGAATCATGCCTTGTGATAGATTTCTCATGGATAATTTCAAAGATTGTATACAATGTATTCAATCATATTCATCTTCCATTACCCTCTCATTCCTGCTTAACCCTTTCCCTTTTAACTTTCATGGCTCTTTGTTGTTTTGGGACCCATTGAGTTCAACTGGACTTGGTTACAGTAGCATGGGAGGAAGTTATTTAGTAGAGCATGGGCAATACAGTGAAGTATTGAGGGACCCAGCATTGTGTAAGTCTTGAGCAGATAACACAATTCTAAGTGTTCATGATTGCAATGGCCACTGCATGATACCATGTCCAGAAAATAGCAGTCCTCCCTATCCTCTGGTTCTTACATTCTTTCTACTTCTTCTTCCTCACTGTTCCTTTGGTCTTGAAAAGGGTAATACAGATGTCTTATGAGTGTAAGCACTCAAACATTTTCAGCATTTTTACCAATTGAATCTACTTACCCACCCAGTGTAAAGGGAAGCTTCTTTGAACAAAACTGAGAACAGCATAGTCTCTGGTATAAATATATTTAGAAAGCTGACATGTCCATTTATAAAACAACAGTAGATTCTCCACTAAGGTCTGTAACTTCCCATGCATGGGCTTTTGTCCAAGTATCAGACATAAATTTCATCCTGTGAATTGGGTCTCAAATCTAATAATAATAAAGTTAATATTACTATTACATGGCATTTTTGTTGGTGTGTGTGTGTGTGTGTGTGTGTGTGTAGATCTATACAGGCCAGAAATCTACAGAAAGTATTTTCCTCTGTCATTTTCTACTTTATTTTTTGAGGCAGAGTTCTCTCTGGGTCTAGAGATCATTGATTAGCCGGACTGGCTGGCCTGCAAACCCTAGGGGCCCACCTTTTTCTGCCCCAATTACAGAGCCAGGGGTTCAGGCATGCACCAACCACCATGTCCAGCTACCTATGTGACTGCTGGCACTCTGAAGCCAGGTCCTTATGCTTGTATGACTGAGCCATCTCCCCAGACTTCTTTCTTCTTTTAGAACTGTCGGTTCTTTTCATTGTCCTATTTATTGACTGTCAGTTTGTGAGTATGGGAGGTTCATTTTTATAATTTTTATAAGATCTTAACTTGCCTTGTCTGAAGTATAACTGATAAAGATTTTTCTCCCATTCCATAGGGTTCCGTTCACTTAACTGATAATTTCACTTGCTGTATAATAACTTTTAAACTTTGTATCAAAGTCCATTTGTTAATTCTTAAGGCTATTTCCTGTGCTATTGGGGTTTTATACAGAAAAGTATTTTTTAAAGATTTATTTTTCATGTAATGTATATGAGTACACTGTTGCTGTCTTCAGACACACCAGAAGAGGGTA